TTAGTGAGACTTGACTAGTGGAGTGAATGTTAGTAGGTAAGTACAGTAGTAAACAATAGACTCTAGATCTCTTCCATAGACTTGGTTACAAAACATCCAAATATTGTTACACGTGCAGTACACTACAGAAATGTGCGAATGAACAGGAATCGACCGCACAACATACTGCTTACAAGACGGTCGAAATATTGACTTACTGAATATCATTATTGTAGGGTGACTATGTCGAAGATAACAAGTGAGATTTATTAACAAGTGCAATAATTATGTGTTGTTATATTTTAGTGGCATACAAAACAATATTTGACTGAAAGTAACTTAAACTTAAATATGAAAACTAAGAAAAATGATTTTCTTTTCAGTTACAGTTGCAACTTTAACATTCAGTGGTTGTATGTATTGTCCTATGTAACGACACTTAAGCTTTTATCCCTATCATGCATATCTAAAAGTGTAAGAGTAAAGCACAGAAAATCGTGCTACAATAAGTATCACCAGAAGGTGGAACAAAAATCGTAAAATTCCATTGCACTGTCCTGGCAACTGATCTAGACATGGCTATACCAGTAGCTACAATATTTTTATGGCAGTGCTAAAATGTTCGGCCGGAGGATTTCCGAGCGTCCTTTGTTCTCATACCATAAACTTAATAGTACCACAGATAGCGATACACTTCTGTATTTGGAGGATGAATTTGTCACTACCATGTACGTTTCGTACAAATGAGTTTGTATTACTAACTTCTATTCATACTCTTTAGAACTTGTTGACCTGACGAACCCTGTGTTCTGTCTGATTTAACGAGCCGATACAAAGTGTTTCAACGTTTCATTTTTTTCAAAACTACTACGTAACATTCAGTATCTTACGTTTTCATATATTGTTATTGGTGATTTGACTAATTCAATAAATCTTACTTTATAAATACGAAAGTTTGTAAAGATATAATTATATGTGTGCATGTTTGGTAGTCTTTAACGAAAAAACTGCTGAAGGGATGAAATTTGGAGCGGAGGTAGTTATGGTCTCGAATAGCACAATGGCTCCTTTTTAACCCACGGCAACCCGGGCTCGCTGGCAGCAAGACAATCATACAAATCATATAATTGATGTAAATTAATACACCTTTTGTATAAGTATTATATATATTTGTAAAAAGTAATCAATACAATTTTGGGTTTATTGTTTTTTTACGCTATATACTACAGTTCGCTCCAGTAACAAATCAAAATTAAGAGCAGTATCAATACTTTGAAGAGTAAATGCCAAACATAGAAAATCTATATATATAAAAATGAAACCGTTTTCCCGTTGTCACGCCATAACTTTAGAACAGCTAGACTAATTTTGCTGTTTTTTTTTGTTGCGTTTGTTATTCAGGAAAAGGGTTCTAAAGACAGAAAAAATCCTGAAAATCCTACGGGAATGGGAGAAAATGGGATTGCGTGTACGAAGTCGCGTGCAGAAGCTAGTTCTAAATAAAAATTATACTGGCACTTGATGTTCTTTTGTCAAGTAACTTGAATATTGTAACAACGGGGTCACCATTTAAGTCCCAAAGTATTAATCGAAATAAACCACTTTACATATATTCAGTTAAAGCTAATTCAATATCTTCAACATGTTCGTTCCAAGCGTTGTATCTTCCCATATAGGTAACTGTTCGTTCTGGCGGCTGCATATTTAAATAATACAGTTCCGAGCGACTGAGCGAGTCCGAAGTCGAGTAAATAGGGAACTCAACCGGTGTTTGCAATTGAGCGGCCGGCACTGTAAATAGTTCATGTGTACTGTACGCGCCTTCACCTGTGTACTGAGCTGAGCGAGACACATACATCATTACTACGTATAAATCTTATACGAGTTCGTGTTGAAGTGGAGTATACTTTATTTGTGAGTAGTTTAATATCCAGAAATTAAGGGTAAAAGTTTCAGGAGTTCTGCATTTAATTCCTCTTCAACAAAATAATATTTTCTTTTGTAAAATCAGACGTACCTCTATAGTTAGTACATTAACGGACTTTTCTCCTACATTTCATTGCAATTTCTCGTTTTGGAGTCATACCAACGCATAATATTTTATCAGTCCCTGGAATTGTCAACAAAAGTGAAATTGAGAGGTGATAATTTCCTTTAAACGAAAATTCAAATGTGCTTTGATACCATGAATAGACAAAGAGATGGGAAACAATGGAAGTTGATGCCCGGTAGCCGGTGGCGTGGTACCGAGCGAGTGCCGGCCACACGGACGCTGCGCGACTGCGCGACCGTCAGACAAACACATTTGTGTTCGTTTTGTGTGTTTCTCCGGGACCACTTCGCGCCACACTGCGACATTCTTCGTACGCGTTTTATTATTTATTTATTGTGCGTAGCAAAGCATCGACTTTTTTGTCGACGCTACTTTTTTAAAACTCCGAGGTGTAAAGGTTAGTGATGTTTGTTTTGTGCGCCGCGCCGAGTCGGCTATATTCATACATCACGATATCTTTGTTGAGATTTCTGTTGCCTAGCTCCAGCACCAATTCTTAGTATCATCTTTATCCAATGCTACGTTATGAAACTGTTCCAGTCCAGAAATAATGTTTGATGTTCCCACCCGTCGGCAGCTCTCTGAGGTGTCTTGCAAGTAAAGTGCTAAATCCTTTGATTCATGATCATTATGGACTTCCACAAAGAATGACGAACTAATTCTAAAAGTCCAACCGTTTTAATGTAACAACACAGTGTTATCAAAGAACTAAATAATACATCGTTTGTTACACGAATGATGAATAGAATACCTCTCTACTCCCTACCAAATAAATTCACGAGTTGGCAACCAACTTAGTCTTCATATCGTGTGGTCTATTTTAGATTGCGTAACTTCTCGTGTTCTCACGTGTAGCAACTTGTATGTAAGTTGTCATGACCGTGACATGTTTACAAAAATGTTGAATAGCTCAGAAAAATCCAATCGATAAAATGTCAAGGGCAATAGTGAACTAACAGACAGTACTCTGTACCAACATGTAACTCTATTTAATTTCCAAAGAAGTGAACACATGCGAGAATAATACTACGATGTATAAAATAACACTAACCTCAAGTTTTAGTTAATGTTTCCGTCTGAAGGTCGGTGTGTAAATCTCTTAAAAAATAAAGTACAGTCCAATGGACAATCTGCAACAATTGATGATCCCAAACGCAAAAGAAATAATTGATAGTCAACCTTATTTCATCAAAAAGTTGAGTATTGAAATAAATAAATGAATTACAAGCCGCAATATCCCAAAACAGATTAAGAACCTGTGACACTACCAGAGGTCTCAAAAGTAGACCAGTCATCAATATTTATGATGGAAGTCAATCAATGAACGCTACTTCATTCAGTAGCTGCCCACACGTAGTCGATAACAGTTACAATGAATAACGTAACACTAAACTTAATAACTGTGACGATAAACAGGCAATTTTCACGGATTACAACTCGCTTCTTAGTGATGAACACACGGATAATAAAACTGACAAACATATGGGGTATGTGGGATGCATTCAATTATTTGTTGTTAGAGGTTTACTGGTAAGCAAGTAAACTTGGATAGTGAATGCAAATTTCGACGACAATATTTCAGCCCGATTGTTGGACAGGGCTGAGAGACTTATCAATTTGTAAGTACAAAAAGTATTAAATCGTAAAAATGTTGTATGTTATTTTCTGTAAATTCAAAAAATCTGCTAATGTTAGTTTTGGTACTTCTGGCAAAGGTAAAACACAATCCGAAACATATTTCGTCCCAGTAAACATAAAGCCACCATAACAAATAGACTTCAGAGCACTGCAGCAGAAGTTTTACCACAGCTCGAGGTCCCCATGGACCGTGTGTCTCGAGTGTTAACGAAATACAAATATTAGTGAACACACGACACAAATTAAGACTAATGTCTAATGTAAAGCATAGTTTAACTTGAAACTAAGTGCTTGAACAAAGTGACGGTGGCTGATTAGCTCCAGTTAACTTTTAATACTTCACTACTTTTAAATGTAAATTTTCTGCTATTTGCATAAACATTACTTTAACTCTGACTAAGAGGTCAACTTTTGAAAATGATCTGAAAAATACACCTGCTTCTTGCAACATATCGCAAGTTTCATAATTGTTATATTCAAAATTAGGGCAGATTATTCGAGCGCTAGATAACTTTTAACTAAGGAATAACTTTGAATATTTGACAATTCTTTCATACTAAAAATTTACTAATGTCAATTTTATTCTAAAGTTAAGAATTAATTGATAATTGAATATCGGCCTTCAATGCTACAAAGACACTTAAACAAACGCACAACTTGCGGATTGTGTAGATGTTGAAATTATTCCAATAACGTTTTTACCTGTAAATCCCACAGACCACACCGAATTATTTGAATATAAATTCAATATAGAATGTGAAAAAGGAAATAATAATATCATTACCACGTCATAACATTCACGGTCTATAAAACACGGCTACCACTGAACCGCTCTATAAAAGTTAAGGCCTATAAAACTCCAATACATGGGATTATTCGACTATGAAGTTTTACAAGAGCATTTGACAACCTCGACCACCCATTCACATCACTTTAAAAGAGCATAACGTAAAAATTAAATTTTTATTCGTGCAACACGAAGGTTGAATCAGGTAAGAGGTGCCGTGAAATGTATCAGTGTAGTGCAACTTTTGAACTGGACGTGCGAAGAGGGAGCTCGCAAGGTGAACGCTTGGGACCAATGCTTTTTATATTGTTATTTTCAGCGGATGTTGGTTAAGGTAACGGTACAGACAGCCGATTTGATATGCTTGATCTTTTAAATAATTTGTTGACCAATAGCCAACATTTAAATACCCAAGATTGTGTTGGATAGAACATGTACGAATATGCGAAGCCGACGTATTAAAATTTTGTTTATAGTTTGATGAGAATACTTACAGCATACTTTCTGTATTATAACATTTTTAGGTATTATTCTGACACTAACCTGCACTCTACTCTCAGTAAGGCCGATCCTCATGGCGATCTCCTCGCGCATGAAGATGTCAGGGTAATGTGTCTTAGAAAAACATCTCTCCAGCTCGTTCAGTTGTGCCGGTGTAAACCTGAACAGAAATAATATATCGGTTAACGTCACATACTCGATAATATCGCTAGACTTAAACCTTGACGTCCAAAGTTAGAGAAACTTTATATTTCTCAAACATTAAGTTACTTAATTTCTTCTTAATGTATTTTTCTAAATAAACCGATACATTAATGGTTGCATTTTGCTTAAAATCTCAAGTTTATAAAAACTTAAAATAAATTCTGGATCTAAACCGATTCTTTCTAAATTCTTAGGAATAAGAGGGCCTGAACCAGACAGCCTTATCCCTGTTAGTCTACTAGACTTGAAAAGTGGATGCTACGTAACATGTTCTTCTATGTTAATTAATTTTCGTGACTATAATTTTCAATTAATTAATTCAACATTACCTCGTTCGATGTCTCTTCTGCTTGGCAGGTTTGTCGCTGTCTGATGCTGAGGACGACATACTGACTGGCACCGTGGCCATATGCCCTCCACTATGTTGTTGGTGGATGCCACCTGCAAATTAAAGCGGATTAATTTCTACTTTTCTTTTACAGTAAAGTGGTTGTTACTTTGGCCAAATGGTCGCAAGTGCAACTGCTAGGCAAGGGGTCTCAGGTTTTATTCCCGGGGCGGGCAATGTATTGCTGGGTTTAAAAAAAATCTCAGTGGTAGCACGGAGTCTGGAATTGTGCCCGGTATTTGGCAATAGGCTCACCCCCATTACATGGGACTTATAACATGAATAGTGAAAAGTGGGTTACATTTATGTGTAAAGTTATTTGAGTGATGATTATAACTAGAGACCGGATAATATGCATTTGCATATTTGCATATGCATTTGCATATTTAAGCGATTTTCAAGGCTAATAGCATATTTTTACTAATATCTAGTGATGATGCATATTATTGCTATAATTTACAGTAGGTAGGTATTTTTCGAGCGTAGCGCACTCGGCAGCCGCGCGTATTTTGTTTTGGTAGGTACTCAAAAAATGAAAGAGACAAAGTTTTTGTGTGTGTACAATGCATCCCGAAAAAAAAAAGTTTGTCTTCGTGGATAAGTGAATTTCCTGGAACATTTACTTACGACGGAAATGTTTTATATTGTCGAGTTTGCGAGAAAAACATTTCGTGCACTAAAAAGTTTCAAATAGACCAACATGTCAAGACAAGTGTTCACGTCGCAAAATACTTAAATCTAAAGGAATAATATTTACAAAACAAAAAAAACTCATTTAATGTTGCATATTCTGTCAGTTTTCGTGCATATTTTAGGCATTTTTCATGCATATTTGCATGCATATTTTAAGCTTTTTATGTTGCATATTATCCGGTCTCTAATTATAACTATCAAACAGACACCATCAGTTTCATAAACTATTGAAGTCAAAGTCAAAGTCAAAGCATTTATTTCAATTAAACCATAGTTTGGTACTTTTGAAACGTCAACAAATACAAAATAAATAATAGTCTGTCAGTCAGTCCGTCAGTGAAGCTAGGTGAAGCTAGGTGCTCATTCCAAAACGTAGATTCGAATGGAGAAGAACGAGCAAGAAACTCCATTCGTTACTCTTTTAAAAAAGTATGTTCTACAATGTCTCTGATACATCACACAAGACAGATTAAACCCTTTTATCTGATTACCTCCACTCTTCTCGGAGGTTTAACATATTTGACAGAGACCGGGCGGGCAACAGGCCCCTTTAATAAACAAGAACATTTTAACTATAATCCTGCTAATATTATAAACTAGTTTTTACCCGCGGCTTCGCTCTCGTCACAAAAGGATAAAAAGTAGCCTATGTGACATATACAAATACACACGGCGCCATCTATACCAATATTTTTGTTTTCCCTTGGGAATATCAAATTTTTCCGGGTTAAAAAGTACCCTGTTATTTAATCCGGACTTTAAACATTACGTCTGCAAAAATTCAAAGCAATCGGTTTAGTAGTTACGGCGTGAAAGTGGAACAAACAAACAAACAAACTCACTTTCCGATTTATAATATTAGTAAGGATGCGAAAGTTTGTGTGTGTGTTTGTTATTCTTTCATGTCAAAACGGCTGAAGGGATCGACATGAAATTTGGAACAGGGGTAGATGATGGTCTGGGATAATAAATAGGCTAAATTTCACCCCACGAGAACGCGGGCGAAGCCGCTGGTGGAAGGTAGTCTCTAATTATTTTGCTCACGGTATCTGGTTAATTAAATTTAAAAATAAAATAAAGTTAATTAAATTGTGCATCATCAGTACGTACGCTATTTGCAATATGAAATTCAGAAATAATTAGAATCATTGACAAGCGATTGGACCATAAGTACGGTAATCGACAGTAATGATCTAAAAAATTATTGTATTTTTTTATCAAAATTGAAAATCAATTAGCAATCATGCGAAAACGGTAAATATTTAATTAACATCATTAAGCAGGTGAAAAAATGGTTGGACGATTCATCAGGTATGAAAGAATTTTAGAAGGCTACCTACTAACACAGAAACTGTAATGACGCTGTAACTTATGTAATTCTGTTACCGTACTCGCTACTATGTGTACACCAAAATGCTTCAAAACAAAGCTGAACAAAATGATTGCACATTGCACCGAAATTCAAAACATTTTCAATTTACCGAAATCAACAAAATATTACTATTTTATGCTTCAACAAAGTTTACGACCCGCCTGATATACTCAATATAGTATAATGCCGTAGCTTAAGTACGCTTGCAACCCTAGAGATATCACAAACCATTGCTTCGGTATACCTTTTGTGGTGAAGCTACTGAACAAATTCGGATAAAGTGAGGTATTTCTGATTACCTTGTAAGTGTTCGGTGCGTATGTTGTGCGCGATGTGTAGCCGTGGGCCGAGCGCATGGTGCGACCGGTCGAGGCTCGGCTTGATCTCGTGCGGCTTGCTGTCCTCTGAGCACGACTCTTTGTGACCTGATCACATAAATATTTATTGTAGAACTCATGCTAAGTATAGGAGAGCTATGCTAAGTGTGGAAGAGTCATATTTCGGCACGATTGGGCCGGCACGACCGTAGTGATACCACGGCCTCACAGGAAACCGACGTGAGACCACGTGTCGTGCGAATGAAATTATGAGAGGCCCAACTCCCCCTCCTCCCCTCTTCCCCAATCACCCCAACCCTAACTCCCCAACATTCCTCAAATTCAAAATCCCCAAAGGCCGGTAACCCACTTGTAACGCCTCTGGTGTTCCAGGTGTCCATGGGCGACGCCGGTTGCTTACCATCAGGTGATACGTCTGCTCGTTTACCGACTTATTCCATAAAAAAAAACTTGTGAGATAGTGGAGCTGTTACTAAATCAAAGATCAAAGTCTTTGCAGACATTCAAAGTCCAAGTCAAACAATTTATGTTCATTACTTATCTTAAACCCAAGACATACTCTTAAAAACAGTGAAGTTACATAATCGCTCACTAAGAAGAAATGAGCAGGCAAGAATTCTATCTCTTTAAAATTTTGCAAGGGCCGAAATTTTTCTATGAAGAACATAAATACATCAAATCATAGTCAATCACAGCACTCAAGGGACACACCTAGCATTCGAGTTTAGTAGATTCGGTGAGATAAACATCTAATGCGTGTGATTAAAAGAAAATACCAGTGGAGTAAAAAATATGTTGGTAAACTATTATTATTCACTGTAAAAATCTTTTCGAAGGAATCGGAAGAGGAAAGGAATTAAATTGATTAACACTAGATAATTGCAAACGCGTGAGACACTTTGTTCTATCAAATATTTAGGTTACTCTTTATGATGATGTAGGAGTGTGTGTATATTAAATGCTTACAGGTTACCTAATGAAAGTAAGCATGTTGTTATTTGTTAATTTCAATGAAACTCAAGAAAGGCTGGACTTATTTCATTAATTTTGGTCTTGAAATATTTGTGAAAGTTCGGGTTACTTCATAAGTGAGAGTTGGTTTACCCACATTTACTTCATATCTTTGTTATAGGTTACTGGTCTGCCCGTGTTACTTGATAAATATAAACAAAGAACTTCTGTTCTTTGTGTATATTTATCACTTTACTCACATTTTAAATAGTGAAAATTTGTATTTGGTCTTTTGTATTGTTTTTGTTTATATGTAGGTACGTACTACTATGCGCTCTAAATTGAAATATTGTTTCTTTATGAAATATTGTTTCTCAGTAAGTGAATTATGTATGTGATTCTTTATGAGAAATAATGATATTCTAAACCTAAACCTAAGTATTAATAAGAAATTGCAAGGAAATTCGTAGAATCGACAAAATTCGTTTCCACTACAAACTGTTTTTTTAGATAAGAGGCATTCCATAGTGTGTAGTTGAGTGACACGGAACAAATACCTATGTCATTATTGAACTGTTCCCCGGTGTGTGCTCGTGCAAAATAAAAACAAATGACACGTCAATGACGTCAGACCGAAAATGACAAGGGCAGGAATATATAGCCTTCTCTTTCTAAATCCAGATTATTACCGCCTTTACAACATTGACATATTAAAATCAAATGACATATTAATGACGTCAGACCAAAAATGACAAGGGCAGAAATATATTGCCTTCTCTTTCTAAATCCATATTATAGCCGCTTATGACGAAAGATACACACGTTTCCATATTAGGAAATAGATAACCTCTTTTAAAAAATATAGGTACCTACGGTTACGGTACCTATTAGGTCGCAGTCAGTCAGCTTAACCTCATTGCTTGGCAAGATTTTGGCAATAGTGGTGGTTGAGTCAGCAAAAAATTGTGAAACATACAAAATGTAGGAATCGACAGTTTTTCTTTAAAAACTTCAAGTTTAGTAGCTATTTCAGGGCACTAGTACCTAACACATACAATAATAACAACAGCTCACACGTTAACAGTATCAAAAAGTAAACAAATCTATCAATCGATACGTGCACGAACACTACAAACTACTTACCTTCACATATAACAACAAAAAGTTACCACACAACACTCCTTCTTGCAAAGCATGTATTTACTTCCTAATATCTACTTATTACAAGTCTAAAACATAGATTTTATGAAAGACATAAAATACGACTTCCACGCATGATTTTCGCAGGCTTTCTTAGCTTGAAGTTTTTGACATTATTGAGAGAAAAATATCTAAATTTATTTATTTATTTATGACAAAGCCATAATTATTATGTACAAAGTAACTTTTTAATAAGAACTTAATCCTTCTTAGTACTTCTTAAAAAGATAATGAAATACTTAAATACCATCCGTAAAAAATATATTCATGAAGATGTTCATTATAAGCATTTCATCTACATTGTCATAGAATTACAGTTGGCGCAATAACCAACTGTTTGTGCAACGTGTCGCTGGACCGATTCCGGCACAGAACTCTATGTGTGATCTACAGATTGATGATGTTGATAAATTTATTAAGTTCGTATAGGCACCCACGTCATATGAGAATATCATAATGAAGAGCAATAAAAGAAACAACTTCCCCTAGTCTGGGAATAATCGCATTTCATGATGAAAGAACAGCAACAAAATGTTATAAATATCACAAAAAGATCGACATCAATGTAATCCGTTTCCTTCCACAAACTATTTAAAAAACCGCTCGCGATACAAAATGAAACTACAACGTTTAATAAATCCAATTTAGACGAAGAACAAAGTGTTAATGCGTGAAATTGGCAAAGTTCGGTCGTCGGCTCAACCCAACGACTTTGCGATACTCAACATTTTCTATTTGCGAACAAATTGAGAATTTCCAAGCAGAAAACTTGCGTTCCGAGCTGTTACACGATATGAAATGGTATCGTTTATAGCCGCAATAGCCGCCTCGTTATACAAAATGTCTTTTAGGACCTATTGTATGGAATAAGGACAGATTTCTTCCAGAAACAATATTCGAAAATGAGACAGAAACCCTTTAAACAAAATAATACTGTTTGTGAGTTTTCTAGTTCGTGGTTAAGCCTAAGTAATACTTAGATTTTGAACAAAGTGTCTTTATTTTACCCACAGTTATCAATTCAACACATTTTAATAGGCTTCACAATCTGCATGGTTTAAACACTTCCGTAATCTATCAAAAACGTAACACACGACTTTTTACTAAGTACACTTCTCACAGCTTCGACGACTTATAAAGTTTTGGCCAATATATTGACAGTCAAGTGAATCAAAATGTAAAATTTTAATCTTGTTAAAAGAATTAGAGTAGGCCAGCTTGATACAAACTCTTTAAATGAAGAGTATTGACCATATGTCACAACAAAAAAATAATTGTATAAGTAATAAGTATGTTATATCCTTTGAAGGTAGTCCAGCAAGGCGAAAAAAAACTCATGGGTCTCCACTGTGCAATATCCGAAAGTGCGCAGAAATTCACTCCGTTGATAGTTTTCCGGCTAGTCAATGAAATAGAGACTTGCTAGACACTGACCAACTTTCAAGAACAAAGAGTATTGTGAGAAGAACAAGAAAGTAACACATAACATAACATCACGCCTTTTATACCCGAAGGGTTAGGCAGAGGTGCACAATGCACATTATGCCACTGTACAATGTAACACCCACTTTTTACTATTTATGTTATGAGTCCCATGTAATAGGGGATGACTTTGCCATACATCGCCATTTGCCATATACCAGGCATAATTCTAGATTCCGTGCTACTACTAAGATTTTTTTTAAAACCCAGCAATACTTTGCCTGACCCGGGAATCGAACCCAAGACCCCTTGCCCCGGAAGTCGCACTTGCGACCACTCGGCTAACGAGGCAGTCAACAAGATAGTAAATAAATCCAAACCCGCTTCTTATAAAGAGTAGTATTTGTCAGTTTATGATAACTATCCTCTTGACCACTTTTTTATGGCATAAGTCGGTAAACGAGCAGACGGATCACCTGATGGTAAGCAATCGGCTCCGCCCATGGACACCCGAAACACCGAGGCGTTACAAGTGCGTTACCGGCCTTTTGGGAATTGGGAATTTGAGGATTGTGGGGGATTCGGGGATTCGGGGGACTAGGGAGGGGGTAATTGGACCTCCGGTAACCTTACTCACACGACGGAACACAACGCAAGAGTTGTTTGACGTCGGTTTTCTGTGAGGCCGTAGTATCACTCCAGTCGAGCCCACACATGGCATGGCTCTCCCACATTTAAAAAGTGGCACTGGAAGTGGAATGAATATACAGAAATGGTTGGAGAAATAACTACATGCATGTATGGACCATTGGACAGCGCTACTATAAATACAGTGATACATAATTAATCTGTTGAGTTTCAGGCAGCTGTTGGTAATTTCTTTTGTCCACTTTTACTCTTCGAATAAGTTTTGGAGTTATTCAGCAAAGTGGAACGCTTCCTAACTTTTTCTTGACCTTTTCAAAACTATCAAGTAAGTAGTGGGTGGGCTGTGCAAAGTTCTACTGTATTTCCATATTGTTTCAGAAAATTTCTGAACATCAAGATATTGACGAGATGTCTGGCAACGTTGAGACACTCAAGAGAACTTTCGTTTAATTCTCGATGAAAAGATTGAGACGATATCGCATAATATTAACGTCTCTGCCTTTTTACCGACTTCAAACACAGGAGGAAGTACTATGTTCGGCTGATTGTTTTTGTTTTTTTTTTTTGTTTGTTCGCCGATTACTCTGCCATTTGTGAACCGATTTCCAAAATTCTTGTTTTATTTGAAAGAGTATACTCCCGAGATGTTCTCATTTCCATGAGATCAGGATCTGATGATGGAATCCTAGGGGAACTTTCGAGACTTGTAGGGGCGAGTAAATCAGTGGGGGGGTGGGTAACCTATAAGAACTAATAATAGTTTGCTTTTTATATTTTACGTTTTGTTATTAGTTTTTGGTTTTTAAAAGTAGGTTTTTTATGGAAAAATGACTTCAAACTGACAAACCTACTAAAACTACTGAAATCAAATCGGTTTAACAGCTTACTGAGTAGTTTCGCCATAGCACCATCACATCAAATGGAATTATTTTAAACCAAATGTACCTTTTATGCAAGTATGTCCTCTAAAAAGCTAGAAACATCAGACTCGAAGAAATATTAATCAGACTCGACTTAAGCATGCTCTTCAAAAATGCTCCCGGAACTAACAAAGTAAATTATTTCCATTCAATGTTAGTCATTAACAAAACATTGGAGAGTACGTCGGTACGCAGTATACTGACTAATACATGCCTACTGACAAACAAACAAACATAACCTCAATAAGTCTAAGTACAGTTACCTACACCTATTAAGTATAAAAATACTAAATACCTACTGATGTCATCACTTTCTGTATAGCTTAAAAAAAAATGTTGCTATAATATGGTGATCACCTACAAATTCCTGGCTTAATAGGACTTGACTTAAACCTTAACTCTTTTGAGACAATTACAGTAACTAAGGACTATGATCGGTTCAGTACAACTATAGAAAAGTTGTTTAATGAATATTGAATAAGAACAAAAATAATATCATTATAATTATGGTTTAACAAAAAATCAATCGCAAAAGGTTTATTTATTCATATTTTTTTAGTAATAGAACCACATTTCGACCAATTGATAATTTGGACAACCTCAATTATTCCAGAATACGGGAACTCGAACCTACACAATTCAAAACTATGTCACAACAACTAAATATAATAATGAATGCAATGTAGTCTGGAGCCAACATCTAGGAAGTAACAACAAACAGGCCAGTAAGTTAGTCGACGAATAAAATATGCAGAACTATTAACTAGACGTAATGAACAATGAAGTTTAAGATTAATTGACTAGTTCAGGTTAGTTCGCCAAGTTCAGTTCAATGTTAATTTCTGAGTTCAACTTAAAACTGACCTATCTTCTACCTATAAATATTGCAATTTTATTGTGCCTCGTTGGCCATGTAATCACAAGTGCCACTACCGGGCAAGGCGACTCAGGGTTCAATCCCCGGGTCCTGCTAAGTATTACTGGGTTGTTAAAAATTCTTAGTAGTAGCACGGATACTAGAAATGTGCCCGGTATATAGCAATAGGCTCACCCCCTACATTGGACTCATAATATAAATAATGAAACGTGGGTGTCACATTGTACAGTGTCATGAAGTGTCGTAATGTGCACCTATTTTTTTAAGGGAGAAAGTCATCGAATGCCGTCTCCCACCTGGGGGTGGCAGGAGACAGTGTCAGACTCTTACTGACTAAAAACAACCCCGTTTCTACTCCTGCCCTTCGAGCCGGAGCCCCGGTAAACCGATAAGTCCTCCGCATCTCTGTGCACCTCTGCCTACCTGTTCGGAGATTAAAGGCGTGATGTTATGTATGTATGCGATTGTTTAAGTTTGTGAATTAGCATGGAAGGTTACGTACTTGTTACTGAATCGCAGAAAAATACAGAAGGTTTTATAGAAGTTTAATAAACTGAGTGGAATACCAATCAATTATCACATCTGACTGAAAAACTACATAATTAATCAATGACAATGATCTTTATATGAAAATGTAGCAAATATTTAATTGTTACAAGGATTTGACTCCTCTGGTGTTGCGGGTGTCAATGGGCGGCGCTGATCGCATACTCGTTTGCCTCCTATTCCATAAAAAAACCTATTTCAAATAATTAAAAATTTATAACAAACAAAAAGTCAAAACTAAAAAGCAAAAAATAACTATTATTAGTACTGATAGAGTACCCACCCACTGATAGGTTAGAAGTCGCCATAAGTTCTATGCAAAATTATTCATTCCAACCTTAATAGATGCCTAATTTACAATTTTGTGGCTATTAGGTTACATCATTATGATATGAACCTCCTCCTTTTTATGAAGTCGGTAAAAAGCCCAAGACATAGGTTTGCAGTTGGTAACAAATTAGGAAACCTTTTTTCTTATTCATTACTAATTTCTTGATTTCTTTCTCGGTAACTGATGAATTATAACATAAAGGTTTGTTATCATGACAGACATGTAAAATTGGAAGCCTCCACAACTTGAAGATACTCATATTCATACCGTTTAAAATTTTTTTCATTCATTCGAAAGTCAGAAATTAATTAATTAATTACAAATTACTATACTTGCAATTTTAAGTAAACCATCCACTGGGTTAGTCTACTTCAAAACTCCGTTTTAGAACAGTGTTTATTTCATCACTAGCTTTTAACGTTTTATGTCATAGGAACATTTAGTCGTATCACCTAAGTCAGCCCACATTCTGCCTATATACCAAATTTCATCAAAATCATTTCAGTAGTTTCAGCGTGATTAACGGACAAACATCCAAACAAAAAGCTTTCACATCTATAATATCAGTGTGATAGTGTTAGTCTAGTCTTCCATCTACTGCTTAAGTTAAGAGTTAAGTTCTTCCAAAACCAAATATCGATAACAATACGGTCCAAGAGCACAACACTGTTGAACATTTAGTAAGTTGAAAGTAGGTGCATAATGTCTAATGAACCTAAGGACCACAAAGTACGTCAGTGGACATAAATCCGACTTATGATGTTGGATGATAATACCTAATAGAGCAAAATATTCTTAAATGCAGGTTTTAATTAACATTTTAAAGAAATAATGAACTCGAGCCAAGAATAAATGTTTACAGAAATATCCGCTGCCTAAAGTGACCGCTACCTTATTCCACGCGGAACAAATGGACAAAACACGCAATGTAATTTTGAATAGCAAATTTCTACTACTGAAACCGATTTTGGACCGAATCAAAAGTAAAACTGAAATCTAATCACCACAGATTAAATACTATAGGTCCGCAAATATAGAGCTAAATGTACAGATTATAAATCTCCAAAAGTTAGATTACTTGTTAAGGGTGAATACATCAGGTTTGACATTGACATTGTCATGACAGGGAGTCCAGTGGATTCATTATTTATTGAGCCCTGCTAGGATGGGGGTCAAAGGATTTTCAATATAAATGTACTCAAAACACCTACTAGATAATGTCAATCAAAATGATAAACGTGACCCATGTAACGATACATGACCAGCATGACCTTCATTTTATCTGCAGGTTTAGAAAGAAGATTTTACATTTAATTCATACATGTAGAAAATGTGCAAAGCACATGTATTCTGGCCGATGATAATGATCAAAATTTGGCTTAAAGGTCAGTTTCTCAAGTTTAGTTGTTCAAAATTAAACTTTCGAATAAAAGGTGGAATTTTAAAACAGATCAATATGTTTTAAAGCAAATGTATACAATTTGCACCACCTCCGAAGTTAAATTAGCTGGTAGGTAAAAGAAATCTGTCAGATATGTGACGATTAAAATCGTTTAGTAGCCTTTGCTACTATGGACTAAAACTTAACGGACATCATATAGATTGTTAGCGACAGCAATGCCATTAAATATGTGGTTTCTTTGACAGCAAGTAGGTATAAGTCTTTTTAGGCGTTAATCATCATTACAGTTATCTAAACCTACCAGCAGTAATTTTCTCCGCTAACCTCCTAATTTTTCCCCATCTGCAAAATTTCCTTCAACACCAATTTAAATTCAATGTCCCATTACCCTCCGATAGTCTCCAAACTAATACAGAACACGATATTTTCTTCTGAGAGCAGAATTTAAATGATATCCACCCCAAATCGGGAGCAAATGTCGAGGCGGGCCGGGACTTAGCACCTCCGGCCCGGCTCACCGGGATTACGGCGGGCTCATAAACACGATTTAATGGAATTGAATCCCGTAAAACAGAACGGTTCGACGGCAGCCGGGATATCGTCGGCAAACCGTTTTATTGTCAGCTTGCCTTTGTTCGAGGAATGAGGGAGTTACAGTTATTGGGTGTGTGGTGTTGGTGGGATTTGTCCGTCGATAGTTTTAATTGGACTTGTGATTAATTTCGTTTAAATTGAGGGAAAGTTAAAATTATCTGACGTGGTCAACGAGAATACAACCACTAGTCTTTTTAAAAATAACATTATTATTGCAGATATTAGGCGGTTTTTGGAATGAAGCTAGAAGTAAGACTGACTTACCTAAGTATTTACCTTGTAAATCTTTAATTAGGTACTCTTTCAGGAGTTAAGGTTTTGGAAATAATATTTGTTCTTGTATTTAGAGTGTAGGTAAATCAAACGTAGCGTTAAATCATTGAAATTGGAATCAAAATGGATCACTTTACAGCAACCAAGCAATAAATGACCACTTAGTTGACTTTACTTAAAAATCTACAGGATTTTATAATTCAGTAATTTGTCGCACTATAACTGTCACCTAAATAATAATAGGTACTTCGAACTATTCAGATAATTTATGATTCAAGTTCTACCTGTGATATTTGCATTTTTTCTGCTTCATCGGTCTAGCGGTCGCCAGAACGACCTCTACGCGTGAGCAATTTTTATTTCGGAATTTAAGCAATGAAAAGTGTTAATTTATACGTTTCTGTCTTATTGTAATAAACACAACCGGGGTGTAGATACTAATTGTAGATGGACGGGTGACTACCCTTAAAAATACTCAGACTCACTGGCTTCTGTAAGTTCCTACTAAGCCTACTCCAAGTGAAAAAACGTAGGACTTAGGAACTTACCTCCCAAAGCTGTCGCAGTGAGGTTATTGAGCATGGCCTCTAGGGGCCAACCCTGGCCGCCCCCTATGTCGACATCGTCCGCAACACAGCTGCACAAACCAATGGCTGCGGCCGCGGCTAGCACGAGCCACGCGCCGCCGCTGCAGCGCCCAGCATCATCAAACCAGATCACAAGTCCACTCTCCCGCGACACAAAAAATTCCAACGACACTCACGCAAAACGTCAAAAAGGACGAAATTCCAGCGAAAACCCGCCTTAATACAAAATAATTAGCGCTATATTAAACCCAATTAGTTTTAATTACGACTCCGTTCAAACTTATTTACACACTTAATTTTTGTTATAAAATTAATATAACCCGTTTAGTATCAATTTGTATAAATTTGCAGTTTGATTGGTTCGCCCTTAAAATGATCGTTTAATGTGGAAACCGACCGTCGACTGGTACAAAAACAGATAGTGCTCACATTGTTGCCGACCCTGCTCCGCCGAAAGCTCGACGCGAAGAAATATACCTGTCCCGCTCTAACGCACACTCCACGTCAGACTGTCTCGCTCGTTTTGCACGCGTGCATCAGTAATGGATGCTTACATTTTGTTTACGTTCGATTTGAACAAACGAATAATCTATTATTTCATTCGTGCACGTATTATTGATACGGACCTTTCCCATTCATACAATATTCATGTACCGACATAACCAGTTTCGTCTCGTTCATACTGCAGCGTTTAGTATGACGCTAGTATAGTCCTGTCTCTTTCGCACACTGGTTTTGGATATCGAACGGTGGTGGCGGGCGACCAATCGGAGTGCAGAGAAATCACTTTGAAAGCGTGTAGGGCTGGCACCCAGTGCGCGATATTGAAATATTATTGCTATAGCGGGCGCAGGGCGTTCCGTTCTTTTGTAATGGAAAAAACAAATACAGGCAGTGTGCTCGTGATATAGCTCGCTATAGTTGTGTTGTCCGAGGTAAATAAGAGTACTCGAATGAGATCCGTTGGAAATATTTCAGCTGGGTTGCGTTCGAAAACGTCGCAGTCTGAGTGCGATTTCTTGTAAAAGCGCCTTTAATTTTCGGACGTTGTTGAATAAGGAATGCGGGGGAATGGACACTTGACGAAATGGATACCGACGACTGTTTTATGTTAGCTTTTTGTTGTTTATCGAACCTTATATTTTATTTTGGTACCTACTCACTTACTGAGTACCTGCTGAGTTGTTTCGCGACTGTTCACAGAATGTTCTGGAGAGTTTTCTGCGATATGTAAACTTTAACATTATTTGTCTTAGATTTCGTTTCTAAACTTTTTATAGAATCACGATTTATATTTCAGTAATCAAGGGTATACAGTTAACATAAAAGTATGAAGGATTTTGCTAAACTATCGCCTCACCCGGGCAGTAGAAGTCATTGGATGATTTTCCGCCCTCAAAAATAAAAGCTATAAATAAACATTTTGAAATTCTGTCAAAGGGCATTCGCCCTACAACATAGGACTCCACCACTTATTCTATGTCAATTAATTTTATCAGCCATATACACACACACGTGCGCACTCACACAAGTAACTGTACACTTGGCTCCAATTGGCTCTTGATTTCACTTTGATGAAATTCCTAGTAGGTAGGTAGCGAGGATGTTACGCCGAAAGAATTTCATAAAATGTTTTATGAAAGCGGCTTCTGCTGAAAATGTGAGGAATTTTTTGCTGACAAAAAATTCCTCGCATTTTCAGCGAAACATATTTGAAATGCCTTTCAAATGAGAACCAGTCTTGGTTACAGTATACTTTGGGAGTTTCATCTAGGTTTAGTTTCCGTGTTGAGAAAATGTTTGTTTTTAGTTTTTGAGGTATTACAATACGTTTATGTTAAAACTTTCGTGAGACATACTAAATTAATTATTATGTGTTCGGCTTACTCACATAATTATTTGACGAGGAACTCGACTAGTTTCAAACCATGCTAGAGGTTCATATTCATGAGCAGCATTCCCCGACCCTCGACGCGGCGACTATCGCGATGCTCGTCAGTCTCTAGTCAAGTTCCTCGTAAAACAGTTAAGTAAGTAAGCCGAAAACATAATTATAATATAGACTTTGTTTTTGTTTAGTTAATAGCTTGGACCTTATTTTTATCGCTGTACCTTTCACGGGTCTTATGCAAATTAGGTAATACTTGGTAACAATTAGAAGTTTAAGTAGTACCTAAACTACCTAGAACTAAAACATCTACCCATCTCTATCGTAGGTATCTATGGAAAGCATACAAAAATGTTCAGTTATTACTTTAGACATAAAGCACATATTGTAAGGACAAATCATTTTCCCATAGGATATTAATTGCAAGTCTACATGTTACTAGCAGCCCGTCCCGGCTTCGCACGGGGTAGATAATTATTTATTTTTGGAAATTTGGATTGTTGTAGTGACATAACTACAATAGTTGGACATATGCTACCGCGGAGTTTTTTGTAGACATTATGATGTTCTTCAATATTGTTGTACATTATTTTGTTCTATCGCTAATAGTTTCGGCAGCACATTCGACGAAAGATATTTTAAGACTCATTTTCCTACACGGAGGTGTAGGAAAATGATGGTTACATTGTTCAAATTTTACCAAGGAACCCTAATTTTTTTCAAAATGAAATGTAGCCTATGTCAAATTGGAAGAATGTAGCATTCTATTGGCGAAAGAATATTTTAAATTGGCCCAGTACTTTTTGAGCCTATTCATTACAAACATACAAAAATAGGTACAAATCTTTCCTCTTTATAATATTAGTAAGTATAGATTTACAATGTAATGTAAAATATACTTACCGACATTTCGCCTGTCATACCTAGTAGTCACTTGATGTGAGTTTTGTGTAATTATTGTAGGATAAATAACATAACACGAAGCCTATTTTCCAGCAATCGTACATTACAACCACTCTACCGACCGGGACATGGCAAATATTACGAATTTTTGTTTTTATTAAAACCATATTTTATTCAAAGCTACGTAAGAGACCAACTATGAGTCTAATACAAAATTTAATATAATCCTAATCTGCTCAGACTTATAAATTTTATTATTATACAAAGTATCATGGCGCGAGGGGTGCTCTGATCACTACGCCGTAGCCGTGCGCCGTAGCGAGGCGGGCTACGACTGCTACGAGCTACGACGCTAATTAAAAGCGTTGAATTAAATACTTTTGCTTTTGTACCTCTATTTCTTTGAAAGTGAATGAAATTAGTTTTTATAGTGGTAGACACACTTCCCTATTGTTAAAAATGTGTACGTATGTACGTACTACGCAATCATAAGTTATAGCGATTCAAGGCGACGTTTCTTGAATTCGGTGTAAGTAATGTAAACTCATTACCATCATCAGTGTGAATAAGTCCACTGCTGAAAGAAGACAACAGAGGCCAATATTAAGCCTACTTTATAACTTTGAGAAAAGAGAAGAGTTGTGAACCTGTTAGAGAATTAATTCCTATGCGTTCAATCAATCTGTCAACTGGCAGTCAACTTAACATGACAGCCTGGTACTTACAAACGCGGCAATGCCCCGCTACGTCACCGAGTCACACACTGTGACGTCACTCGTGTAATTGCAATATATTGCATTCTATTGTTCAAAGTACCTACGGCTGGTGATACGGTACAGGAATTGTGGTCACACAGGAGGTGACACGACAGTAAAACAAAGTTCTTTCTTTAACGTAGTAAGTAGTTTAACTCGTCGAGTACCGTCATTATAGACACAATTATTATTATAGAACAATAGGTTGCGGTCACCGGTGACCGCTTGGTGTTTGACAGTTTAAGTGTGGGATAGCCATGGTTCGGCACGAATGGTCTTACAGAAAACCGACGTGAAACAATGCAAGTGAGTCCAATTACCTCCCCAATCTCTGAATCCCCATCCCCAAAATGCCAGTAACGTACTTGTAACGCCTCTGGTATTACGGATGTTCATGAGCGACGCCGATTGCTTACTGATGGTAAGTAATGAAAGATCCGTCTGCTCGTGTACCGACTTAAAAATGTAACAAAAATATGACATGAAATTTTTATCTGTTGCTAAGCCACAATTCGTGAACCTCCTATATTCAGGTAAGAGTGAGTGCAATAAAATGGCGCTCAACTGGCGCTGGAACATTGGCACAATATGTGAGTTTGTGACTGCCCGCTTGATGTGCAGCCAGCTTGCACTCAAGTGTGCTCGTTACACTCAGTACTCAGTTGCACTCAGTGCTCGACTATTGTCGAAAGTGAGTATGAGATCTATGTGAGTTCAATTTAGTAAATTATAGAATAATATTATAGCGCATCATAACTGTTACTACGTTTAACTGCCTCATTGCGTGCATAACTTGATGAATGAATTTTGACTGCACGGTTGGCGCATTGGCTGGGCAACTGGCTGCCAGGTATCGTGTAGCGGGTTCGATTCCTGTACGGAGCAACTCTTTGTGTGATCTACAAATTGTTATTTCGGGTCTGGATGTCATGTGCATGTGAAATTGTATGTTCGTTAACTCACCCACGATACAGGAGAATATTCAAGTGTAGGCCAACATTTAAAAATATAATATGAGTTGATTAAAATTGTTATGTAAAAGAGTAAACAGTTACGTTGTAAAATAAAATATGTCAATCGCCTATAATATCCGCGCGTATTATTTATGCAAATCTTACAAACAGATGTACGAGCAACGAACACCTCGCTGGTACAGTTAGCATTGCATAAATACATAAATATACAAGGTGTGTGCAAACAGTTCACTAATCGTGACGGATTAAACAAACTCTTGTGGTTTCACTTAGCGCCACTTAGCACTGCCGACCAGATTAACAGTAATGTGTCTTTACTTAAAACTAATGCAATTACTGCGCCAGACAGTGACGCCGCTATACGAGAGACAAAGATAAGAATAACATACAGCGTGCTACCTTTCGATAGCAATTGATCTGGGATCCCTAGAAGTGGGGAAACTTGTTGCCCAGTGATTGGAATATAATTTGTATGTTACAGAGCTTTGTATATGTGGAGTAACTATTATTGGCTGTTTAGTTTTTGGCTCAGTTTAATTGGTAAGTACCTACATTCGTAACAATACAAATGCATGACAAATGTTTGAGTAATAATAAAAATTTTGTGCCAATGTCATTTCATAAGCATTTTTCTATTTCTTGATGAGTTTTTTACTCACAGACCAAAGAGCTAGGTACATTTTTAGATTCCAAAACTTAACTTCTTTTAACTCGTCAAGTACCGTCATTATAGACCGCTTGGTGTTTGACAGTTTAAAATCACCTGACCTACGAGTAATTTTGTGATTTCATAGTATGTGTATGTGATTGTATCAAAATCGAATATTACTTATATTATATTTAATCCTAATGGATGCGTCAGAAAACTATCACACTAA